TAAAACGCGCGACGGCAGGAGACGTCTCAAGGTAGCCAGGGAGCGAGCGCGGGCCGACGCCACACCGATGGGCGTGTGGGGTGGGTAGGGTTGCTCAGGGGCGCTCACACGCACGGAGGGCGAGGGGCGGCCCCATCCCCTTCAGAAGCAGAGAGTTGAGTGTGGGGGGGGGGGGGTCGGCCATGGCTTTAGATGTGCAGGGGGGGTACCGAGCAGTGTGCGGCCGCTCTTGAGTTTTCCGTCAGGGGTGGCGACCCCCCAATATCTACAGATGATATGCGCATCCTAGATGCCAAACATCTAGGATGCGTTTTCCATCTAAGGACACCGGCCAGCTGTCTCCACTATGATTGGGTTCTGCAAGAAGATAGATGGTGACGCGCGTCTTTTTTGATAGCGCGTGACATCTCAGATACTGCAGTCGTCTTCAGACGCACAAGTGTGCCGAGATGATACCCTCATCTTGGGTTAGTCCATGCATCCCAGGATATAATGTGGCATCTGAGGATGCGCAATGCATCTCAGGAACCGTGAGCGCGTTGTCGGATGTTTTCCAATATTTTCGATCGACAGTGTCCACGGAGTTTTTTTGCCGAACCCAGAACCCGAAATAAAAACCAGTCTTACATATAGGCAACCGCAACCGTCCATGTAGTAAAGTCAGCATTAGCACCACAGGGCTAAGTGCCCCCCACCATCACTCAGTGGCTCCCAGTTCCATCACCATCAATAGTATTCCACAGCGACGACAGAGTAGTCACATGCTCACATCTCACTTATACGACTTAGCATAGCAACTGAAATTAGCATAGATTCACAGTCTCCATTCCAACTTTGATCCAATGGCTCACACGCCGCTCAAGTCTTTATAATTTAACTTGCATTTTAATCATTAAATGCCAAGGCCCAAGCATCTTGGGATATGCGAAGCATCTTCAGACGGATGATTCGAGCATCCCAGCACCCAGGATGCTCCGGCATCTTAGTTGAAAAAAACACCTAGAGATGCTCGATCATAGGCAAGACAGTGTGCAGTCCAAGTAGGGTGCATCTTAGATGCATATTATCTCAAGATGCGCATATCATCTGTAGATGGGGGGGTCGCCGCCCCTGACGAGTGACGTTCCGGCAACCGTTCCCACTTTTCCCAGAGTTCTCCGGTTTTGTTCACATGTGTTGCCGCTTGCGGGGGCCATCCTTCGTTTAATATATATCAATCTGCGCTCTCCTCTGCTGCTGAGCTCATTGTACGTTGAGCGCGTGTCTTGTGCGGCGCACCTTCTTCTAATTTGTACGTGTGTGCAACGAGATCAATCGTCAACACAAGAAGACGGTGCATGCGAATGTGTGGAACTGTGATCAGTTGCCTCGTCCTTGTGACCGCTCGAGCGACTCTAACGCCGCCGCCGCGCCAATCACTATACAACCGTTGCTCACCTCGCGGCCGCGGCGGAGAAAGTTGAGCGCAAAGGAGAGCACCGCGGGAAGGGGTCGCACCGCCTGCAGCACCTGCAGCGCCGAGGAGCGTCAGCGCGTCGGCTGCGTCTCGGCTGCGTCTCGGCTGCGTCTCGGCGGCGTCTCGCCTGCAGCGCCGCGGCCGTGCTGACGAGCATCAGCGTCTGCTGCAGCACCAGCATCCACCGCTGGCTCATGTAGCCTGCGGGCAAGAGGCGCAGGCAGGGGGGCGAGGCGGCAATTCGGAACGAGCTGAGGGAACGAGCTGAGGGGTGTGTCCGTCGCAGCTCGGATGCCTCTCCACCGCCTCTCCGCTGCATCTCGCTTCGCACCTCGCTTGACCAGCGTCTGCATGAAGAACTCGCAGACGTAAGCAACGTTCAGGCAGAGCCAGTACAGCCTGAAGTGCGCCGTCCCCACCAGCGCCGCGCCCTCTCCTCCTCCTCCTCCTCCTCCCATCGCGACGCTGACGTTGAGCCCGTGCAGCAGGAAGTGCCTACCTCGCACCTCTCCGCCCGTCGAGAGGCGCCCCTCGCCCGCAGCCCGCCGAGCCCCCCCTCCCCGCTCGCTTGTACAGCAGGTACTGCCACTTCTTCAAGCGGTAGAGGAAGCGGATCAGCGGCGTGGTGCCTCCGACGCCGGGCGTCTTGTAGTTGGCCGAGAAGCTGTTGACCGGGAAGCGGCTCCGCGCCAGCCACGGCAGCAGCAGCGCGGCGGCGAGCGCCTGTCCACACGACAGCCGCCCGTGGAGGAGAGCGCCTCGCTCGCACCGCCTCGGCGCGGCAGGGCGCCGTGCGCGCGGCGCGGCTGTGCGGGAGCGCGGCTGAGGCGTACAGGAAGCCGACCTGGCAGAGGTTGAGAAGCTGGTAGAAGCAGTGCTCCAGCATCTCGCTCCGGCTCACCGTCGCCTGAGGCAGAGGCGGAGGGAGAGGGTTGGAGAGGAGGAGGGCGGCACTCCGTCCGAAGGTCGGCCGCCTTCTCGTCGAGAATGCCGGACGCCTCGGAGCCGCGCAGGTGGACCCGCGCAGAGCCAAAGTCGCGTGCAGCGGAGAAGGCGGTGGCCAAGCCGAGAAGCGACAGGCCGACGTCGTATGCGCCGCGGAGGCGGAGGAGCGGAGTCAGCCGCACGTCGGCCAGGCCGAGCATGAGGTAAAGGAGCAGGAGCGAGCCGGTGAGGCGGTGGGTGCGGCCGTACCGCGGAAGCAGCATATGCGGGTGAGCGGCCATGGCGAGCAGCAGCCGCACGAAGAAGAGGGCGAGGGCGCCGTCGAGGAGCCGGCCGACTGTCAGGCCGGGCAGGAGCAGACGGGCAGCCTCGACGTCGTGGAAAAGTGTCGCCATTGTTCTGGTTAGTCTTGAGACCCACTCGAAAATCTGAAACGACGCACCCTTTGGAAACGCTTGCCGCCTCTCAACACCCTCGTATATGTTGCGGTACTTCAGCGCTCCGGCAGTGGAGAGTGTGCGGTCACTTTGTGGCAGGAAGGGTCGGAAGCGCTCCGGCAGTGGAGAGTGATAAAGAATTGCGATCGCCGATGGTAGCACCAGTCCGAGCCTGTTCTTCACCTTACTACATACCTACGCTCGCAATCCTACTACAAGCGGCTTCGCTCACAACGTGACAGGTGACGCCTACGACTACTACCAGCATCATGCTGCAAAGTCTAGCCTCGCAGACGCGGTACCATTGACAAATCTGCAATATACCCCCAAGTCGGGAGATCTTGCTCTGGAGGGCTGCATATCTAGCCTCACTGGGAGCCTGCCTTCCTTTGGGTCATGAGGGCAGGGAGGGGCCGGGCATCTCCTGTGGTGCATTCTTGGCAGCCAAGGAGCAAAGCACGCGGCCCTGGCTAGCTGTGGTGTGGCCGGGAAGCCGTGCGAAAGATGCGTGCCCGCACTAAAGATGCGGACCACACTAAATGTACTGCAGCTGCCTGCACCTAAAGTGAATGAACTAAATGTGGCGCTAAACTGGAGATAAAACACACTAAATATGTGCTAAATATGTGCTAAATATGTGCTAAATATGTGCTAAATTCGCGCTAAAGACGCACTACACACGCACTCGAACACACACTAAATAGCGCACTAAACTATCACTAAAGTTCATTCACAGCC